TCTACAGCTGAGCCACAAGCCCAGCCCAGTATTGTAAATTATTGCTCATTGTTATTTCTATGCTGTGGAAAAATAATCATTTGCTTTGTTATTCTTTTTACATATCTAAAACTTTAATTTTTTTCTGAGTAAGATACTTTCAAACTACTTAGAAAGTCGTGTATGTGTGTACTCTATTACAGCATTAACAAAAATAATAGCAAAAAAATCACTAGAGCCTAAAAAACTCTTAAGACATAATTAACCTCATAGTTTTGATCTGATATTTGTCTAAAAGTGTAGTAATGAATGTAATCATGGTGTTTTCCTAATTTGTAACTTTTCAAAAAATTACACTGAATTCCATTTTAGTTATTAGCTCAGTCCAAAAGCAGGAAAAAAAAAGTACTGAGGACCAGTTGTTTACCTGGCACAATTGTAGGCACTGAAGATAAAACAATGAACACATTAGACAAAGGTTCATCAAATCTTAGTCCCTAGACCAAAATCTGGTCTACCACCTGTTTTTGTAAAATTCTATTGGAACACATACATTCATGCCCTTTTGCTTCCTTATATCCTTCAGTGCTCTATATCAGTGGAGATGAATAGTTGTGCAAAGACTCTATGACTCAGAAAGTCTAAAATATATACTATCTTACCCTTTTATAGGAAAAGTTTCCCAACCCGCAATTGACAAAAAGAAATCTCTGCCCTCACATTCTATTTCAGAGACAAACAGTAAAATAATAAATAAGTTTTTATGTGGTCTAAGGTAACGTGCATCCAACTGGAAGGAAGCAAGGGAAGGGAATATGGAGTCTTGTCAGAGAGGGCCTCACTGCAAAGATGACCCTTGAACGAAGATCTAACAGAGCTGAGAGAACAGACCTGTAGAAATTTGGGGAAAAACTCCAGGCAGGGGAAGTAGCAAGTGCAAAGTTCTGAGGGAAAAATTTCAAGGAGCTTTATGGGCCAGTGTGAATGGAATGGAATGAGAGGAGAGAGGAAGTCAGTCGACGGGCCAGACTGAATGCAGCCCAGCATCTATTTTTCAAATATTTCTGAGGTTGAACCCATGGATATGGAACCTGCAGATATGGAAGGCCACTGTGCCTCTGTACATATGTATATTATGTGTGTGCATACAGACACATCTACATTTATTTTTATTTCACTGCAGACCTTGGAGGGATGCCTACTTACTGTTGTTTCAGTGGAGGGGCTAGGCATCTTGGGTACCAGGCAGTGAGTGAATTGGATTCTTGGGTCTTTGGTGGTGATGGATAGACCTTTCTGTAGAATTCTCACCAAGCGGATCCAAAATTGAAACACAGCCTCTGGATGTTTATCATGGAGCCTCAGGTAGTAGATTTTTTCTGTCACTGTTCTAAGTCGCAGAATACGTTGGGTCCGGTCATAGATTTGTAGCTCCACATACTTCAGGGGGAGAATCCTGGGCATAATCAGGAAATTCCCATGTTGGTGCCTCCCACCACTGCTTGGGAATACAGAGGCGAGAAAGCTTGTGTTCTGAGAGTGGGGATGACCAAGTGGGGATGACTCCTCTCTGACTACCAGGACTTTTGTTAACCAATCTGCCCACATCAATAACAATGGCTGCTATTGGTGCATAATATCTCATTTAATTCCCACAGCAACATTTTGATGGAGGAAAAATAAGTGTTGTACTTCCACTTTACATATTTTAAAACTGAGATTTGGGAAGTCTTATCAGTTTGCTCAAGTGGGAACTGGAACAAGGTTTTTCTGACTCCATCTCCAGGCTTTCTCCCTACATTGTGATTATCTGTGTTGAGAGGGTAAGGACAAGGATGGATGTCTCCTATATAGTCAGTATTTTCCTTTCAATCTTAACACATTACAGTCAGATTTTACTTTCATATCTCTATCTTTTCTTGGGGAACCTCCATATTGCAAAAAAAATAAACTAAACAAAAGGAAGACAAAATCCTCAACAACTTGAGGCAGGATCTTCACCCCCAGCACCATACACAATGCTTACTATATTTAGATACTAAATGCTTATTAAATGAATGAATGAAGGTCACTCTGAAGAACACTGTTCTTTCCTTTGATCTGAAATCTAACTGCAGAACAGCTGTAACCTCCTACCACTTTTAGTCCCTCCCTCCAGCCTTTACCTGCTCAGTGTGATGACTGGGACACGAGGTGTGTTCCAGGTAGAAAACTGATTCTGGGGCCAGGTGACATTGGCCATCAGGAGGACGTTGGGGAGTGGCAAGGAGGGCACTGAGGACGTCACCCCAAGAATGATGGGGGTAGATCCTTCCCAGACATCCATCCAGTCTGTGGGTTTATTGACCTGGAAATCAGCCCCAGGAACATGGATCAGAAAGGAGCAGAAGGGTAGGAGGATACAGAAAACAGTACTTCAGCTTGTGACAGGTGTAGAGCATAGTGGGTTGGGCCGTGATCTACTATTAGTCCTTTTTATTGGTCTCTGCAAATAGTCTTTAAGCTCTCGGGCTACAGGAACCCTGTGTAGCATTTCCTAACTGTAAAAAGATGTAAGAAAAAAGTTAAATGGCACTGAAATTTTATCTTCTCTTCCTTGGTTAGCAGAAGCCAGCACTGGCTTCTAATGCCTTGAAAGGGAGGGGAGAAAGGGAAGAGATGTCAAAGGGAGAAGACCCAGACAACTCAAGTGGAGGGAGATTCAAGAGCTTTCCTCAGCACAAGGAGCAGCTTGTTGCTAGGTCTTGAGTGCCATATGACTTGTTCTGAAGCACCTGGGGGGGTGGGGGCGTGCCAGGACAGAAAGTCTGGATGGATGCCTGGCACTGGGACACACTGACAGAAAGGCATAAGAGCTGTGGCCACTAAGGAGACACAGGGACCAAGGTAAGGTACAAATGAGGAGAGACACCTATGTTCCCAAGACACTAAGCCTTCTCCCAATATTTTAGACTTTGTAAAGTCACCAAGACTGTTGCTCTGCTCTTGGGGACAAGGAGAAGGCCCCAGGAATAACAGGAACTTATTTCCCAACAGCCTGACCAAATGGTACTCCTAGAAAAATGAATTTGGGGCTGGGATTGCAGCTCAGTTGGTAGAGAGTTTGTCTAGTATGTGTGAGGCACTGGGTTCGATTCACACAAAAATAAACAAAATAAACGTATTGTGTCCATCTACAACTAAAAAAAGAAAAAAGAAACATGAATTTTGATGTTATGGGGAAAAGTGACATTTCTTGGAGCCCATGTTGTAGAATGAAATTTGTATTCCCTGCGAAACAGAGGACAGCACATATTGAAAGTAGCGTTCCATAAAAGCTGAACTTGCTCTGAGGTGAAGGTGGTGATGTAGACAGCAGGGATAGATGAGGCAGAACCCGACTAATCTCGGGCTCAATCACATCAAGTAAACTTTGACTTCTGCTATGGGTCCATCTTCCCTGGCACATTCTGAGTTTCCTACTGCCTATTAGGCCACCTGGTATCCACTCAGAGATTCCAAATGGTTTTAATATTAGACCAACTAGAAAATATTAAGAGGACAAATCTGCTGCCAAAACACTACATCCAAAGAGAAACGACTAGAAATCAGATCCCAAATCCATGTTAATGTTCCTTTTCCACGAGAGTGTTAGCAATGAGTTCTGCCTGGGCTTACCAGCTGACCCCATGAGGAGTCATGTCCCTCTGAGGAGCACCAGGACCCCTGAGCACAGCTCCTCCACTCTGGAACTGCAATAGGAAGTAGCTTATTGTTCTGTGAGTAATCCCCAAATTAAGTCGCTGACATACCTCCAGACGTTCCCCCCTTCTCTCCTACAATTCCTTGCCCCTTATTCACTTCATCTGGGTGGGTCCTGCAGACTCTGAATTCCAGCCTCCCTGCCTTGACCCAGGTACTTTGAAATTCCTATGCCAGATACATCCCACTCCTGTTCTTCCGCTCACCAAAGACTCAGCAATACCTCAAAGAGTGACTCACAACACTGTTTTCTGGAAAGCTTTTTCCAACTGTTTAAGTTCAAAGGAGGTGCTCTGGATGCTCCAGGTACCTGTTCTCTGTGCTCATGCCTTGGGGATCAGTTGTTCCAAACTATTCAACACAGAGCTTAGACAGCATTTTATAATGGGTAGACCAAACATATAAGCTTTCTCAGCCCAAGACACTACCTGATATTCTGGGCATCTTCTGCCCTGCATGCAATAGGCCTTGAGAATGTGCTTCCTAGCTAATTGGTTTTATCATACTACAAAGGAGCATAGACACACAGGGTCAGGCTAGTGTCTGTGGAGGTCAGGCAGGACCTGGGTAATAACAGATGCCTATTCAAACAACCACCTCACACTACTCCCAGTGGCTCCATGCTTCCCCAGGCCATGAATGCACACTTCCACTGTCATTATCACCTCTCTGTGGGAACTTGGCAGAATCTAAACAAGACCAATCTGCCCAGGGGCCTTGTTTTCAAATAGATGTTTCTAAACTATCTTAGAAAGAGAGGCTGGATCTCAGAGCAGGGACTCCAAAAGTGGCCTCCATTCTCTGAAACCATCCACTTCAGACAAATGGCCCAGAAAGGGCATCTGTGGTCCTACCTGGAGACAGCTCTGGCTTCCTTGTAAGGTTTGAGTCTAGTTCCTTAAAGCACATGCCTGCAGGGAGCTCTCTCATGCTGTAGGCACAAACTGAAGTTGAACTTGGGACCCAGATCCTCTGCTTTGTTCTGGCTTTGTTGGTTTCTTTCTCCACCCCAGGGCTTTCAAAGTCCACAGCATCTTGTGAACAACCCCTAGGAACAGTTTCAGGAAGGGGAAGACAGGTGGCCCTGACAGGCATGGAGATACCTGGATAAAGTTGCTTTCAAACACTACTGAGTTGGAGAATAAGTTGAATTCTGGAGAATGAATCAGTCGACAAAGAAGGCCATTTTCCACCCCAAGTGCTACTCCAGGGCCTGGTTCCCTGACCTTAGGAGGGAGGCCCCTAATTTTACTCATTGGTTCTTGGGAAGAATGGGCTGGGGAACATCTCTGGGGCTCCTTGCAGACCCAGCCCAACTCCAAGGTGTTGCTGTTGTGACCACTGCTTCCCCCACCTCCTGCAGCTCTACCTCCCTCCCTCCTTATGGCTGTCCCCCAGGGCTGGGAGGGCCTGTCAGCTCACAATGGCAGGAATGACATCAGGGAGTGTGAGGGGCAACAACAGGAAAGGAAAAAAGAAGAGGACAGGAAGCATGATGGATATGCAGGACCTTCTTGTCCCTCTCTCTACTGGCTACAAACCACCAGTCACGAAGCCTCTTCCACTCTTCCAACATTCAGTCTTACTCTAAGAAGGAGGAAAATGACCTTCCCAAGATTATACCGTGAGAGAAGTGAGCTGGCCAGGACAGCGAGAAAGGGTCTGGGGACACCCACAAGCTTTAATTCTCTCTCCTCACAGTGAATCTGCTCACATACTCTGACTGAATTGCTCACCTCAGATCAGGCTCTGACCTGCCCAGATGAGTCTAAGGGTGGGAGAAGGGAATTCATTTTTCCTACCCCATCTCATGGGATAAAATGAGAATTATTTTTTAATTACCAGGCTGTTAACAAAGAGGCTCATTTATTTAGAAACAGTGGACAAAGGAAGAAGTATTTGGCACAGCATTAGGCTGGAGCCAACTCAAAATGGATCATGAAGGAAGCTAGGTGCAGTGGCAAGTGTCTGTGGTCCCAACGACTTGGGAGGCTGAGGGACGAAGATCACTTGAGCCAAAGAGTTTGAGGCTAACCTTGACAAACATAGTGAGACCCCATCACAAAAAAACTTTTGTTCTTTTTTAAACTTCAAAGTATTTGCAAATAAAATAACACGTTTCTAAATAACTCATCATCAAAGAAGAAATCAGAAATCACCAGGGGAATTATAAAATATATAAAAATATATATTATATATACTATATTATATATTATATATATATATATGGAGAGATAGGAAAAAAAAGGTACTGGGGATTGAATCCAGAGGTACTTTACCACTGAGCTATATCTCCAGTCCTTTTCATTTTTTATTTTAAGACAGGGTCTACAAAGTTGCTTAGAGCCTCACTATGTTGCTAAGGCTGACCTTGAACTTGTCCTCCTGCCTCAGCCTCCCAAGTCCACCATGCCCAGCTAAAATATTGTGAATTTAGTAAAATGAAAACATAAAACATGAATTGAAATAAAAGCAGTACTTAGGAAGGGAAATTATAGTTTAATTGTCTTATAGGAAAAGTTCAAAAATTAATTAAGCTTCCATATAAAATTTAGCTAGAAAGAAAACATTAAACAAATTAAATGGAAAGAGTAAAAAAATAAAGAATACAAATCAATGAAATAGAAATGGACAAAGAAAAATAAATAAAACCAGAAGTTGATTTATAAAAAAAAAACAATAAAATTGATAAAAATTGAAAAAAAATTATTGCTACAGTGATCTAGAAAAGAGAGAAAATACAAATTACCAATTTAAAAGACAGAGAAAATATCACTATGGATATTATAAATTTTAAAAGTATGAAAAGAAAATAGTACCAATAACTTTATGCCAAAAATTGACAACTTAGACTTTCTATTTCTATGCCATCACATACAATTGAGTAAAACTGTCTTAAGAAAAACATTTTAAGCTAAGTACAATGGTCAACATCTGTAATCCCAGCAATTTGGGATGCTGAGGAAAGAGGTTTGAAAGTTCAAAGCCAGCCTCAGCAACTTAGGCTTGGAGCAACTTAGTGAAATCCTGTCTCAAAAAATAAAAAGGGTGGGGATGTGGCTCAGGGGTAAAGTCCCTTTGGGTTCAATCCCCAGTATCAAATATATATATATATATATATTTTAACTGACTTTTAAAAAATATTAGTTTTTAGTTGTCAATGGACCTTTATTTATTTTTATATGTGGTGCTGATATTCCAACCCAGTGCCTCACACAAGCTAGGCAAGCGCTCTACCATTGAGCTACTACCCAGCCTTTGGCTGACTTTTAAAATTTGTTTAGGAATAAATCAAATAAATAAATATATTCACACAATACTTGTAATTAAATATCTCTCCACAAATGAAACTCCAGGTCCATATGGCATCACTAAGAGGAGTCCACCAAACATTTGAGGAATGAATAACATCAATTTAAACTCAGGAAATGAAATAGCACTCATTTTATGATCCAGCATTACCAAAACCAAATAAAGACAATGTAAGAAAAAAAAAAATCAACAGACCAAGACTAGTCAGAAATGGACACAAAATCACTGACCCACAACCAAAAGAGATACTCTGTTTCAGGGGTTGGAAGATTCAGCATTAAGATGTCAATTCTCCCCTAAGTAGATCTGTGTATTGAATAAAGTCCCAATAAAAATTCCAGAAACTAGAAATTGGCAAAGATTGATTATAGTTATTTTTAAGATAAAAATTTGAGCAGATAACACATTCACAAGGTACAAACATCCAACAGCATGAAAGGGGAGATAGAGAAGAGTCGTCTCCCTCCCACCCCTGTCCTTGACCCAATTCCCACTAACCTTTCCCCAAACAAAGCCACAGTTGTCATTCTTATTTTAATTTGTTCTCATTAGTTATACAGGACAGTGGAATGCATTTTGACACATTGTACACAAATAGAGCACAACTTCTCATTCCTCTGGCTGAACATGATGCAGTGGTATAATCATACATGTATATAGGTTAATACTGTCCATCTCATTCCACTGCCCTTCCCCTCTTCACCCCCTCTTCCCCTCCCCTCCCTCCCATCTGCACAATCCAGAGTTCCTTCCTTTTCCCCTACCCAACCCCCCACCTGCATTATGGATCAGCATCTGCTTAACAGAGAAAACATTTGGCCTTTGGTAAAGTTGTCATTTTCTTTTCATCCTTTGGAAGATGTTTATAACATTACACCAATTCACATTTCCACTAATAATGTTTGACAGCTCATATTTATAGATCCATTATCTCTGTGGATCATCAAACTTTTGAACTTTGAAAGGCAAAACAAATGACATCTCAATGTGATTTTAATTGAGCATCTTTCCACTTGCTTTTTTTTTCTTCCATTAATTTTGTTCATAGCATTTGTCAATTTTTCTATTACATTACTGGTCTTCTTTTTCTCTGTTTTCAGGCCTTTTTTTTAAATATTGGAAACATAATTTGTTGTGTGTGTAAACTGAATTGCATTATTTTCTAGTTCGTAATTTGTCTTTGAATTTGTTTACAGTGTTTTTTGCCAGGTGGAATTATTTTGGTAATTAAATTTATTAATCTTTTTATTTATGGTATTATATTTTGAAGAAGTTTTCTCATTCCAAGGTTATATAATAATTTCCCCAGGCTTTTCTGCATTACTTTTATGTTTGTTACCTTTCATATGCCTTTAATTTATCTAGATTCTTTTCCTGGTATGTCATGTGAAGTTTATAATCAATGTATTTTTTTTCTGTTTCTCTAGATGGCTACCAATTAATTGTCCAACACCCTTACTGTATAGTAAGTTACATATTTTTGTCACTGATTTGAGAGTCATTCATTCATTGAGTTTACTGAGTACCTACTACATGCTACTACATCCTGGGTGCTTGAACAAAAGAAAACAAAACAAAAAGTTTACATTTTTGGAAGGGGATTCAGACTATAAAAAAATAAACACAACAAATAATTATGTAGAAGTTAGGAAATTAAATATGGGTAAAAAGTGGGGGGTTGGGGAAGCAGAATAAGGGGTACCAGAAAGGTTGGTGGAGGATGGAATGAGCAGATTGTAGTTTAAATCTCACTGAGAGGGCTGGGGCTGTAGCTCAGTGGTAGAGTGCATGCCTTGCATGTGTGAGGTACTGGGTTCAATCCTTAGCACCACATAGAAAATAAATAAAGATTTTTTTTTAACTCTCACTGAGATTTAAGAGAACAATGTCACCTTCATCATAATCAAAAGTCCTATTATTGGCCCAATTTCACAATTTATTATATATTCCATTGATCTGTCCATTCATAGTATAGTACCATACCATTTTAAATATTGAGGATTTATAGTATTTCCTAATCTGATCAGGTTAGTTTGAAGGAAATAATTCCTTCCTCCTTCCCTCCCTCCTTTCCTTTGCTGGGGTTTGAATTCAAGGTCTCTGGTATGCTAAGCAAGTGCTCTACCACTGCCTATTCCTGCCCCACCCCCTCAGCCCTGAATGGGATATTTCTAACACAGAGAATTTGAAAGATAAGTTTGAATAGTAAGGCACTTCATATTTGGCAAGTTTTTAAAAAATTTCAGTATGACAAGCAATTGTTTGCAATTGGTTCCTTGTCTCTGCCTGGATAAAATTCACAGCAGAGAAAAGACTTTCATAATAACAGCTCGGGGAAAGTTAGTCCTAGGGCTAGGGATATAATTAAGTTGGTAGACTGGTTTCTTTGCATGCACAAGGCCCTGGTTTCAATCCCCAGCATGAA